CACACTTTCAAATGGTTCAGTTCAAAAACATCTATACTTGCAACTGTTCTGTACGGTTTACACTGTTATAAAATGTATTATGCAAGTAAAATACTCAGAGCAGTGACTGGCACACAGGGCTGTAACTGGAGTTCACTGTCACTATTATTATGAGGGTAATTCGAAGTTTGTGGAAAAATATAATTAAAAGACAATACAAATTCTTCCATGAACTTTTAGACGACCTCTCATATTAACATTATTGTCACTGTCACTCTGGGAGAGATAAAATATAGTCCTTTCAAATGCCTCAAGTTATGATTGCTACTAAATATAATGACAGTAATACTTTAAGCCTCAACACTGCTATAAAATTCCATCCTAGAAGGTAAATGGGCGGGGGGTAGCAGGGAGGCAGGGTGAAGAGAAGAAAAGCACAGAGGCTGCAGGCGATCGTATGCGATCGCAGGTGATCATGGACACCCTCCCATGGATGAGATATGAGAAGACCAGATCTGAGCCCTCAACTTGTTTTCCATATGATTAGCAAGAGAAGACTTGGGTTCGAGAAACAGAAAACCAAGAATATAATTAAGTGTTTTCATGGTGCAGACAAAGCCTCTGAGGAGATTGCTGACACTAGTATCAGATATTAATTTAGGGCTAGTCGTTTATCCCAGTTGTTTAGAGCACAGCCTTATAACACCAGGGTCACAGGTTCAGATCCCTGCACTGGCCAATTGCCCCCCATCCCCACCCCAAAAATATTATTTGAGAGAGAGAGAGAGAGAGAGAGAGAGAGAGAGAGATCAATGACCACTGATACAGAATGCTACATTTTTTTGTATTTGTTTTGGCGGCTAGCTGGTAAGGGGATCTGAACTCTTGACCTCAGTGTTACAACACTTTAACCAACTGAGCTAACTGTCCAGCCTCAAAACGCTACATTTTAAATAATAGGTTTTCTAGGCTGTCTCAAGACGCACTTTAGGAGTCTAAAAAACCCTTCATTTGGCAATGGGAAAATTCATGCTTAATCATTAAGAGGATAAAGCCGTCTCCTCTCAAATGGCCATTTATCATATCTTTTGTTCTTACTGGGACTCCATTCACCATTAGTTCCTTACTGGCCTGAGGCAGGAAAGAAAGGAGACCCTTTCCCAGGAATGGAATGTAGAGACCCAGAAGGGGTCAGGAATATAGTAAAAAACGTAAGGCCCAAGGCTGGAATGCTAGAGGTGGGGAGATGCGAAGATGTAGAACGGTACAGAATTCAGCAAAACTTAACTGCTATAAAGGACAGGTTCATTTGCTATTTTAAAAAAACCCAAATCTATTTCTCAATAAAAAATTTTTTTTTCCATTTTGGTTCTCTCGGATGTTTTGCTGAAACATTCCGACTGTAGAAATATAATACTTCACAAAAATGCCACTTATTTACTCATTAAGTATTGTTGAGTGCATTTCATTATGGTCAACAAATTCTTAGTAAATGTTGTATATTTGCAAAAAATTTTGTAATCAACATTCGAAGCACAGTCAAGAATCCACAGTACTCAGACTTCTATGTCAGCATGATCAAACAGACAGGTAACATCTACCTGGTAGAATCATGACATCTTGAGAAGTAGTTAATGTTTTGCTTTTGAATTTAACACTTTAAAGGTTTAAAAAAAAAAAAAAAAAAAAACAGAAAAAGTTGATGTTTTTCAACCTTGTCTTTAAAAGAAAACTTGTAATTACTTTTGCAATTCCCAAGAAGCAACAAAAAACATCTGACAATTTACAAAAGTTACCTGCATGGCAGCTTTTACAATCTCCATTTTACTGATATGGAAACAGAGTCCAGGGAGTACACGCCTTACCCTAACAGGGGCAGCATGGAATTAGAAACCAGACTGCCCAGATCCAAGAGGGGAGATCTCTCCATGTGGCCAGTCTCAATACAAGGATCAAGCAGTCAGATAAAATGGCATGAGGTACTGGACATATGAAAAAGTAACTAAGGACAGTAAAGAGATGTATATAACTACATTGCTATGCTCATCTCTTTTTACAAGCCCAATCTATTTTTGTTCAACCAAGGACACTGGTGTTGTGGTTAAATGTGTAAGAGGGATTTTGGCCAGACCTTTCGGACAAAATGACATTCTTTTGCTGAGAATGCTGACCACAGAAGTCAACTGGGGATTAATCTTGCACATATAAGCAAAAGCGAATCCTCACTGAATGTAGAAATGTAAAAAAAAACAACCCTCCAAAAGCAAAGCCCAATTTCCTAAGGATTCAAAGTTAGGCCAGCTTAGGTTCAAGGCTCTTTCATTAATGCCTCAAGTTATGATTGCTACTAAATATAATGACAGTAATACTTTAAGCCTCAACACTGCTATAAAATTCCATCCTAGAAGGTAAATGGGCGGGGGGTAGCAGGGAGGCAGGGTGAAGAGAAGAAAAGCACAGAGGCTGCAGGCGATCGTATGCGATCGCAGGTGATCATGGACACCCTCCCATGGATGAGATATGAGAAGACCAGATCTGAGCCCTCAACTTGTTTTCCATATGATTAGCAAGAGAAGACTTGGGTTCGAGAAACAGAAAACCAAGAATATAATTAAGTGTTTTCATGGTGCAGACAAAGCCTCTGAGGAGATTGCTGACACTAGTATCAGATATTAATTTAGGGCTAGTCGTTTATCCCAGTTGTTTAGAGCACAGCCTTATAACACCAGGGTCACAGGTTCAGATCCCTGCACTGGCCAATTGCCCCCCATCCCCACCCCAAAAATATTATTTGAGAGAGAGAGAGAGAGAGAGAGAGAGAGAGAGAGATCAATGACCACTGATACAGAATGCTACATTTTTTTGTATTTGTTTTGGCGGCTAGCTGGTAAGGGGATCTGAACTCTTGACCTCAGTGTTACAACACTTTAACCAACTGAGCTAACTGTCCAGCCTCAAAACGCTACATTTTAAATAATAGGTTTTCTAGGCTGTCTCAAGACGCACTTTAGGAGTCTAAAAAAAAAATAAATTTGGTTGGTTGCTACAAACCTGAGAGTGGAGGATTTAAAAGACAAAAAAAGCTATTTTAGTCAATTCACTAACACTAACAATCTAACTTATGTAGTACAACAACTATTTATCAAGTGGTTAAATAAGCATGGTATCACTGAAATTATATCTGACTCCTTTGTATGCATATAGAAATCCAAGTTCAAGCATTCCACACTTCACCTGGGAAACAAAAAGATATGAAAGGGCGGTCAATAAATGCATATGTGAAATAAACATTTCAAAATATAAGACACTTTTGAAATACTACCATTGACCAGCTTTTTTATTATTAGAACATGGCACACTTTTGAAAAAGAAAAGCTCACACTTCACTGTTTTCTAAAGAAAAAAAGGTACTCTTACAGGTAAGCAAAAAAAAAAAGAGCATTATACTACAACTCCTACAGCTGTTATGTGGTATCTAGAACATCTAGTATCGAGAGGAAGAGAGAAACAGACACATTAATATATATGCCCCAATAGAGCTTTATGCAGCCTAATACAAGCAAAACAAAAAACATGTTCCCTTTACCAACCCTAGATTGACTATCCCAACAACAACATTCTCAATTTTACATATATCTTCTCAGAAAAAAACGGTTTCACTAAAACAACATCCATTTTGCAATTACACTTAATGTAGTTCTTTCACTGACTTCCACAAGCCAAGCATCTTGTCTTTCTCTATCTGTACAATTTGTAGAGACTTCCCAGGTATCCTGAGCATAGATTACCTGATCACCTGCTAACATTCCTGTTTTTAATGAAACATGTAGTCTTATCACTCATAAAAATTCTTCCATGTGCTATGTTAAACTAGAATCTATTACAGACAAAAAGAACTGTTTCCATTAAATTATTTTAAGCCTATTGCTTTTCATTTAAAAAATAATAATAATTCTAACTCTTACATGGATCTTACTAAGATGGTTGAGAACTAGATGTGTCCATCTCATACTAGTAAACTTACTAAAGATATTTAGTGAGTATTCCTGGGGTTTTATTACCAAGAGTGAACAAAATGAATGAGTAACCAACACACTTTCCAAAATGACCTAGTCTTTTTCAACATGGTATCATAAAAGGATTGATAGAATATACATCAGGGAAATAATCTACCAATTCTTAATAAGTTCAAAACACAGATCAGCTAAAATTATGTCTTTAACACACCCTCTCTAAACCCAAATTTTCTCACATTTCTTTTCCTTAATAAAAGTTGTCGGGCCTTAAAAACTAACTCCACCTTAATTGACATTACAAGCGGCGCCATTATGGGCCCACAAGGGCGTATTAACGTGGCAGCCTAAGATAGCGCTGGGAAGAAGTAGGGTGGGAGTGTCTGCAGGAACCTTGCCTTAGCCCTTATTGGCCAAATACGCGCTTCCGCACTGGTGAACACTGCGTGATTGCGATAGCTAGGCATTGAGACAGGATGCATGCTCTCGTAACCTTTAAGCTGACTGGAGGATGTAAAAACCTCCCTTCCCCATTTGCCTTTAAAAGCAAGTGCTTGTGTGATAATAAATGGAACTGCTCAACAGAACCCTCCCGCTGCGGCTGAGTGTCCTTTAACGGGCTGGTTGGGGCTGGCGGCTGTGCTCACCTCTCTTCGTGGCTCTCTTCCCCCATCTCCTTCCAACGGGGACTGGAGGGAAAGAGGAATCTGGGCAATTCGCTCGCCCACCAGAAGGAACACCAAGGGAGAGACTGATAGCAAGACAAGGGCTATTCGGGTCGGCCGGCCGCGGACCCAACAAAAAGTATAGAGCAAACAACAAGCTTCTTTGGATGCCAAAGACATTAATTACAACTCCTCCCAACAAAGCTTATTATGATATTTTGGAGTCATTTTTTGTATCTTACTACTGTGTGTCCAGATATGTAAACACACATACACACAAACACACACACTTGTGAGAAAAGGAAAAAAGTTCTCATTGAGTGGGCACAAGTGACTCACTTACCTTGTCTCAGGGTTGTAGCCTAATATGTAGAAAAACGAATCCACTCGGGCTTTAAATTCTCTAGCAGCAAATATGTCAGAAAAATGGGAGATGTTACACTTCCCTCTGGGGGGGGAAAATAGTAACAAAAAATACATTAGTAATGCCCTCAATTACTTTCTAAACCAAAATACTACCAAAGGGGTAAGGGGGTAGAGAAAGCACACAGCTAAATCCATGGTACATGCAGAATACAGCTACAAATTCTCTATTTGATTATCCATTCAGTTTTTGTTTCATGACTGCTTCAATATACAACTTTGTGACTTAACTGCTTTTATTTCACCATTTTAGTAATAAAAGTAAATTTAATTAAACCATAAAGATAAACAGGAGGTAGGACTATAATAAAAGGATATTAAACAAACTAGAAATGAAGGGAGAAAAATTAAAATCATAGTGAAAATATTTACGAAAAACTCCGTCTAAAGCCTTTCTAAGTCATCAAAGCAAAATGGGTCTTTTCTTTTTGTTACATTATGATAGGCAGAAAGTATAACTGTTAAAGCTACAACAGATAATACTTGACATTTCTTTGGAATACAAGCTTCTAGCCAATAAATATTTTTCCTCTTTAATGTGCAAGAAATAAACTTACTTGGAAATTAAAACTTTGAGAAATTTTAACTTTTTTTTTTTATAAAGATGGGCTCCAGTATACGAACAAACAGTTCCCTAATTTTTAGGTAATAATAAATGAATATAAGTTAGAAATCACTTTCCCACAGAAATATTGCAATAAAGAGCAGTAAAGCATCCAGCTTCCTCCATCATCTTGTAGCTGAAAACTCTACAATACCACAGAACTACTTAAGCAATGTTTCCATGCACCAAGTATCCAATTTAAATGCCAGAAATATTATACCATGCAGAAGGGCCCAACTTCCAATCACACACACACACACACTCTCTCTCTCTCTCTCTCTCTCTCTCTCTCTCTCTCTCTCTGCAGGGTTCCCAAGGAAGCTAGGAGGTTTTAAAAACTCTGACTCCCTCAGTGGTCATAGAAGGTTACTTTAATGTCAAGTGGAAGCCAAAGGCTGCAATCAGATCACCTGGAGTTGAAGGACCAGAATGTCCATTTCATATCAACAGCACCTGCACCATGCTTCCAAGATGTGGCCTCCCCCTGCTTGAACAGGCTATCTGCTGTAAAAAGGACTCCATAAGTGTGCACGTTAACAACATACACACCAGCTAATGACCACAGTCTTAGGAACAGAGACTGGCTGAGGGGTATCCGCACGGGTACGTTCATTCACTTCCTTCTGAGAAGTTAAAGGCAAAGTTCTCCTTTCCCTCCAGGGCTAAAAGACCTGTGACTAAAGCCTCAGTAATAAGCAGAGACTAAGACTGGCTCAGACCAACTCTATTTTTAAAATTAGGTATCAATGCTGTTGACTTATTAAAGTTCCTTTGGGAACTACAGATTGGAAAACAATCCAGAGTTTCTAAGCACTTCACATGTGGCTGATACAACTGGGAAGAACTGAATTTTAAATTTTATTTAATCTTAATTAATGTAAATTTAAATAGCCACATGTGACTAGTAGCTACCATATTCAACAGTACAATCTATAAACATTCCTATCATCACAAGAAGTTCTATTAGAAGTGCTACAGTATACCTACTATTTGTAGTTAACAAGATGCAATTCAAGGAAAACACAGACTAGGCATCAACTTTCCAGACCCAGAACGTACCCTCCTAGTATTAAACTGGAATTAAAATAAGCGGAAAAGAAAAAGTGGGTAAGATTGCTTTTACAGATGAACAATGAGCTCAGTCTGAAGCTAACTAGCCATCCATCCAAGGTGATTTAATCCCTTAAACCCAGAAGAAATAGATAAATAAATTCCTTTATCAGTTAAATAGGGATAATAATACCTACTTTGCACCCATCTCATAAAGACATTAAGACAATCAGGGGCCAGCCCGGTGGCGCACTGCTACAGTGTGCCACTTGGGAAGCGCAGCGGCGCTCCCGCCGAGGGTTCGGATCCCA